GACATTGATGAAATGAAAAACAAAATCCTCCATCTGCGCTTTCACCAATAAGAGTTTGCCCTTTACAATCTCTGTGCTTGAGATAATTGTTATATTTAGGGCAGAAGAAAACAAAATGGCAACCCCTGCACTAACATTTGTCCTGTGGCTAAGGGCATATTGTCCTACCCACCATAAACCCCAGTCTATGTCATTCCCATTATCACTGTGAGTTTCCTGCAAAAAAAGTACATCCAACCTTTCTTGTGTAATAATTTCAGATATTAAAGCTCTCTTATGTGCATCTCTTTCCCCATTTATGTTTAGAGAGGCCACCCGTAAACCCTTCATGTAAAAAGAGAAACGAGCAGATGTGAGGCAGATGAGAGCAAGTGCACACAAAAAAAACAGACAAATTCTGTTTGATCATGATCTTATCTGGAAAGTTTCATTTTCTTTGCCAATTTTGATCGAGCTGTTCTTAAATTTTTCCTCAATAATGTGACATGGTTTTTGAGGCGGTAACGTTTTTTCTCATCTAATAAATCCAAACTTACAGTTTTCAGATACATAGAGACCGACTTAATAAACTTTTCAAAATCAGGAAAATGTTCCTTGATATCAGCTGACCGGTCGTAAGTGTCGTCCGGGAACTCATTAATCTCTTCAAGAGTATACAGGTTCTCAGTGTTAGAAATACTGCCAGCCACAGAGACACAGTCAGAATCAGTTTCATATTCGTAGTCTTCAGCCACTTTATCAGTCTGACCATCAGACCTCATCACCTCCATCTACATACTGCTTGACTTAGACATGTCTTGTTCAGGTTGTTCAATATTAATATTCCTTGTTTTTTGTTTTGCCTTAAGAAGGGGTTCAGTAACAAACTTTAAGACTTCACAACTGGTGTCAGCATTACATTTTGATCTGACAGCTTTTTCAGTCACTGCCTCAATACTTGACATTTCAGGTGGGGAGACATCAACAAATGGAGCTACTGAGCTCACACACTGATTCAACAATACTGTGAACTTCATGACTTTTGTCCATGAAGCTGTCAGCGGGCGCGGGGGCCATGCCCCCGGCCGCCACAGAGCTGCGTACGGCCGTGGTGTCCACAGCCTGGGAAGCCATGGAAAAACCGGTCCCGGAGGCTGCAGGAACGACAGCCTGGGCCGGATCGCCAGCCTCATCAGAATCCCTCATGGATTCAGCCTTGATGGTTGCGGGAGGGGCAGCGTCAGAGCGTGCGCTTCTCTCATCGCTGTCTCCCCCCTCCTTAGCAGCCACAGTGAGCCCCCCCCGCCTTCTGACGGTGGGGACAAGCAATGTGTTTGTGACCCACATCCCCACATTCAAAACATTTCATGCTGCCTGAGCTAGCATACACCATGTAAGACCCATCACCGTGCTTCACCTGAAAACAAACCTCCAGTGTGTGCGTGGGTGAGTCCAGAAACATGGACATCTGTCTGCGCAGTGATTGAACGTGTTTCAGCTTGGCGTCTCTGCAGCCCAGGCTCACGGTCCGGAATCCACTCGCCATCCTCCCGAAGCGTCTCAGCTCCTGCTCCAGAGTCTCGTTAGGAATAAACGGAGGGACTCCGGACACCGTGATCCGGGTGGAGGGCAACGCCAGAGGCGAAACCGGCAAAAACTCATTATTTAATTTGATTCCACTCTGAATGAGCTCAGTCACAAATGTTTGTTGCTTCAGGAAAACAACCACACCCTTATTCATACGGGAGGCATAAGTGATGTTATTATGCCCCACCTGCTCTCTGACAGCCAGCAGCACCTGCTCCACCGTGGTGTTGGGCTGCGGCACCACCCTCACCCCATGGTCCAGTGACAGGGATGGCATCTCCGAGGATGCCATCCCCGCTACAAAGCTGTCCGCGGAGCGGACGTGAAACTCACAAACACACACAAACAAAACAAACACACGAACAAACAAACAAACAAACAAACAAAATACACTTTGTAGAAGAATCAGCAGAAAAAGTTTGAAAACTCAGACTCACTCCCGCTCAAACTCTCCACACCCAGCATGCAGAGAGAGAGAGAGAGATCACAAACCAATGCAGACATGTTCCTGTTTTTAGTATTTTACATCACTTTATAATGTACTGTTTTTGTTTCGTTAATATAATTTTCTTCCATTTATTTTTTCAATTCATATGTTTTCTTTTATGATTGTCCACTGTTGTCATCATTCTTTGTTAAAAATCAGGTCTCTCTTGTAAGTGAGTCCCGAGGCTCAATGAGACTAACCTGTAGAAATAAAGGTTGAATGAATTAATTTTTTTTTTCTTTCCATAAAGTAATAACAAAAATATATTTCTGAATCAAAGCTTTGTCCTAATTGTCACACATTCACATCTATTAACAAATAATTGTAACTCTACTAAATGTCTAAAAAAAAAAAACTATTTACTGTACATATATTAAATAATAATCCTCTTCAGCTACGCCACCTTCACAACCTTAGTAAGCGTGTGTGAAGCAGCAGTGAGGGAGGAGGGGCTGTGTTTGTATTCAGTGAGGGAGGAGGGGCTGTGTTTGTATTCTGTGAGGGACGAGGGGCTGGGTGAAGTTGGAGGCGCAGATGGGAAAAAAAGAACTACATAGATTTTCAAGTGTAATAATACTTGCGATGGTTGTGATAGAGCCATTTTAACCATCATAAATCAAAAAAAATCTTGATACATGGAGTATATTCGATATATCCCCCAGCCCTAGGTGCAGCTGTGATATTTGTGGCAGTAGTGTTGTGCTAGCATAGCTTTTAGCAGCATCCTGAAACAGTCCAAAGAAATTGTGCCAGGACTAGGCATGACGCGTGGCACAGCTTTGGCATTTGTGGTCGTTGTGTGTATGTGCTGCTTGTGTTTGGACAATAAGGGTGTAGGAAAGCATCTTGGGGGACCCTACAACATCTTGAAAATTTCATTTAGCGAGTATTAAGTCTTGTGGTGTTATTATTGCCTTCAAACTAAAGGACGTTTCTGAGCTTTTCATCCAGACTGGTTCCAAGAAGTCATGTAGGTCGTAATGAGGGTATCTGGGTCATCATCTAATGGGATGGGACCCTAAAACTTCAAAAGGCCTCATTGTATATTTAGTTAACTTCAATTGAGCTCCTGGAGTCTGAACAGCTGAAAACTCGGGATGTTGCGCTCTCTTTGAATGCCTCATGAAACGCCAAGCTCGTGTCATTGTCAGGATTTTCAGGCTGAGCTGAACAAGAACAAACCCATGTGCAGACAGGACGCAGAGGCCAGGACGTCAAATAATAATCACTTTAATAATCAAAAAATAAATAGCTGACGTGGCAGCAAAACTCACAGACAGGATCTGGTCAGAATAATTACACAGAACACAGGAGACAAACCAGGGGCTGTACCAGACACAGTGAGACTGACAGAGGGATACCATCCTTACAGTCATCAGATTCAGTGCTGGAGGAAACTCACCTCAGCCTGAAGCAAAGACAGAAAACTTTTTTTTTTTCATTCAACCTTTATTTAGACAGGTAAATCCCATTGAGCCTCGAGGACTCATTTACAAGCGAGACCTGATTTCAACAAAGAATGATGACAATGGACAACAGCGACAACAATAAACAGTTATAAAGTCATACAATTTTTTTTTTTTTTTTTTAACAAATAGGGTGTATCAATAAACCAGGTGTCTGTGGCAATAATGCATAAACAGACCAC